TCCCATGAGCCTGGGCTGGGTGCATAAGACACAGTGTTGCCACATGCCAGGCACTGCTGGGAAGACATCCCACTATATCATTTATATCTACCCAGAGTCACCAATGCTGAACATACTTTCCACAAATGGTTCAATTTAATAGAGGAATCAGGTGTGCCAAGAAATAAATGCTGTGGCTAGCCACTCCACCCTCCACACCATCCCCCCTCCCCAAGAAATGCCAGTCTCTGGGGTTAAAAAAAAAAATAGTAAGTTACTAGAATCTCAGATTTGGAGAGCAAATGTGATCATTACATAGCCCAACCCACTATCCTGTGCATTCCTTCCTTCCACAATAACACTAACAAATTCCTGTCGCCTTATTGAATACGCTCTCATATCGCGCTCAAAGCAACCCATGTGAGGTTGCACAGCTCTGATGATCTGCCTTACTGTGAGTATAAATCTGTTCTACTCTTGAGTCCTGGTGTCCTTGAGAAGGCAAGAGGCCTTCTGTGTGGAGGCCTTGGACATAGGTAAAGTACCCATTACCCAGATGTCTCACCAAATCACAGGCATTTGGCTGCCCTTTGATGAACTACCACACAGATTCCAACAAAGATCACGAGGAGATGCTTCAACAAGCTCCTTACCAGAAGCAAGAAAGCCCTCAGCTCTTCTAACTACTCACTCAGCTATTGGGGAAGTGGTAGAAATTTCTAAATTGTTGCCAAGGCAACCAAAGCCCAAATATAAATCTCTTTGGGATTCCATCAGGAAGCAGTTTTTAAGTGCACGCGCACAAATACCCCAAGGAAATAACAAAACAAAGGTCCCCTCCTTCTCTTTCTCCTCGCCCCCACTCTCTCCCGTCCTCCTGCTTCTTGCCACGTGGTGATGTGTGTTAAAAATGCATACTGGGAAACCTTCCACCTTTGGGGTTGAAGCAGCTGCTGCCTCAATATTGTTTTCGTTAGTTGTTTTTTTTTTTTTTTTTTTGTAACATACTTTGCTGTTTTTAAGGGTGTTGCCTTTAAGCTCCATGTTTCATAATACCGGTTCAGATCACAAAGTGCGGCAAACGACACTTCCTTGGTTAAGAAAGAGGTTCATGGGGTCCTGCCCACGGTGCTTTCCCCCATCAAGCACACCCTCCTGCATGGCTGACTTCCATAGGTGACGGGGCTTGGGCCAGGAAAGGGTGTCCACAAAAGCTTGCTGGGCTGTCCCCATGTGGAATCAACCTGAGAAAGTCCACACATGAAATACGAGCCAAGACTTTATAACAGATAACATAAAGAAACCCAATGCTCTTCAGTCCTTGGTTTTCCAAGAACACAAAGCATTCAGAGAATGTTCCACAAGCCACTGTCCATCCCATGTGGGAACATTCACCAAAAGAAGTAAGATCAGACATTCCTAACATGCCAGGAAGACAGGAAAAGCTCAGGTAGAGAAGACTTGGCACCTGGCCCACTTTCCCTCCTACCTCCTGCAAATGACTCTAATGTCAGGAGGTAAGACCCCTGACCCCATGGGTGGAGGAGGAGACTATAGCAAAGAGTGACCAGCAGGGAGCCTGTGCTGAAAGTTCTCACTGCCCATGCCCAAACCAACCTGTACCTCAAATGGGAAGCACATCCCCAAGTCCTCACTGAGCACAGGACCAGGCACAAAAAGATCAGCTCCTCAGCCTTCCCAGTGAGAGAGTGAGATTCTGTTATGAAGTCTATGTTCTCTATCAGCTTCTAAGGGAAACCCAACAGAAAGTGATTCTAACAGAGACAAAGAAGGTGTGGTTGTTAGGATCTTGGTCCTACCAAGACTTCAGGGAGGTACCTTATGGCTGAAAAACAGGAAGCTGAGTGCCAGCCACATGCAAAACTTCACCCAGAAGAGACAGACCTCCCTATGAAAAGAACAAAGAAGCCCAAGGTTCCTGTTAAAATGTTGAAAGAGCCTGGGCAACATAGGGAGACCCCGCCTCTACAAAAATAATCAAAAGTTTAGCTGCACTGGGTGGTGCACACCTGTGGTCCTAGCTACTTAGCTGAGGTGGGACCATCACCTGAGCTTGGGAGGTTGAGGCTGCAGTGAGCCGTGATGGCACCACTGCATTCCAGCCTAGGTGACAGAGTGAGACCCTATCTCAAAAATATACGTATTTGTTAAAAGGACTTTTGGACTTGGCACTGACTGACCCACAGGGTCTCTCCAATCACGAGAATAAACCTAGGCTGAGGCAGGAGGATCCACTGAGCCCAGGAATTGGAGGGCGCAGTGACCTATGATGGTATCTCTGCACTCAGTCTGTATGACAGAATGTGACACTGTCTCAAAACAAAAAGAGAGAGAGAAGAGAGTAAACCCAAGACAGTTAAAATGACTTTGATCTCCCTCAAATGTTATTCCACCCAGAGAACCAGCCTAATTGGACGAGTAGCTAGAAACCCGGCCTGCTGCGCACATCTTACCCATGGAAGAGATAGCCAAACGAGGGGATGTGGCAAATCTTATTTAGCGTGGACAAAAGGTCATTTGGCCTTTCAAATAAAATGTCCTCTGACTTCAATCAAACTGAAACTTACAGCCACCCTCAAAAAAAAAGGAAGCCACATTTGTGGTGTGATATGATTGATGTTTCTTTTTCTGAGACAGTCTCACTCTGTCACTCAGACTGGAGTGCAGGGGTGCGATTTCTGCTTACTGCAACCTCCGCTTCCCAGACTCCTGTGATTCTCCTGCCTCAGCCTCCAGAGTAGCTGGTATTATGGGCATCGGTTACTACCACCCGTCTAACTTTTTTTGTTATTTTTAGTAAATACAGAGTTTCACCACGTTGTCCAGGCTGGTCTCGAACTCCTAACCTCAAATGATCCACCCACCTCGGCCTCCCAAGGTGCTGGGATTACAGGTGTGAGCCACTGTGCCCAGCATGATTGATGTTTCAAAGCCTTCCGCCTGCCCAGAAACCTCTTCTCTGCTTTGGCATGGTTCTCCCAAATCCAGCTTCAAATTCCTACCCACAGAACTGGCAAAGGTAAGGCACTGTCTGCAGGAAGCCACTCAAAGAGTGTATCATTCTTGGAGATAAAAGAAGTAGAGAGAATTCCTCCAGCTGCCTCCTCTTCCAGGTTTGCTAATTGTCACCCTGAACTGATGTTAGTAGGAAATGGTAGCATGTATCTTAAGAGATCATCTGGTATAGTTCTCTGCCTTAAGAGGAAACATGTTATTATGCCCATTTCATAGATGAGGCCACTGAGTTGCTTTGCTTAAATGACACAGCTCGTTGGTGGGAAAGAATGAGAGCCTGGGTTTCCTGCCTCCTGACACAGGGTTCTTACCACTTGATCAGTGTCCTGGTAGGAGGATATAGAGACCTGTCCCTAAATACCAAAATCGAAAATAACGGGTCCTCTAATAGGGCAGGGCTTAGACCACCTCAGTAAAAGGCAAGAGAAAGAGTTTAAGAAAAAAAGGCAAAAACATGTCCTATTTCATTTTTCCCAAGGCCAGTCCTGACAAACACAGCACACATCAAGGCTGCCTCTTCATTCCTTGGAACATGACATTCCTTCTAAGTCTCTGAAGGCCTTCCCTGAGACTGAAATGGCTCCTCAAGAGGGAAGCATGGGATTCCAGGAATGTATGTCTGGACTATATTAGAAGGCCTGGGGAACAGGGAAATCCACTTCTGCAACACCAACAGGGCAACAGAGAAAGACCAGACTAGATCCTGGCTGTGGCTGAGCAAGTGGGGTAGGTGGGGATCTCCAGGGGCCACCGCGGGGGCAGAGCCTTCCCAGATCCTCTGGAATTCTAGACCAACTGGACAACCGGGTTAGGGTAAAGGATGGTTTTGGCAGAGGTCGGTGATGGGAGCCGGGGGAGAGAACACGGTCCTGCCCGAGGTTCCAGAAAAAACTAGAGGAAGCCTAGAAACGCTGGCACAATTCAGTCCTCACCTAAATCATTTCCTCTTTCTACAGTTCTTGTACCCCCATCTTGACAGATCAGTTCGCAAAAGAATTCGACCCTTTCGCTGCTCTTTTTTAGGAAATGGTTTTCATGAGAGACCAGCTTTGCCAACGACATGGGCGGGTACACCAGGCGCCCATGCCAAAGGCTGCTGAAAACGCCCTTCGAACCAGCTCCTCTTTTATTAGAAGGAATTCTGGAATGCGATGTGGGCCTCAGAAAGGAAGAGACCCTACATTGATCTGGATTTCCAGGGGCTGTTCGCCAGCGGCTCCCCTCCGTCCTCGCCGGGTCCCCTGCCTGTGTCCCCCGGGCCGCCGGGATTCACTACTTCTTCGTTTCTGGCGGCTTTAAGGCTTCTTCGGGCTAGAAAACCCCACTTTGGGGGGAGTGGTGGTGGGGAGCACTTTCCCAGCCTGCTTCTTTGATCTGCAGCAGGTAAGTTTGCAGGGCGCGCTCCGCACAGGTCACTGCCTCACCTTCCACCCTAGCCGCGCCCTCGGCTTTCACCGCCTTGGCTGGGTTCGCTTTTGGTTTTATTTTTGTGTTTTAAGTGATTGGGGGCAAAAGAGGACTCAGCGACTTGGCCGAGCAACTTAAACTTTCTGCCGGAAGGAAACTATCAAAGGCGGAGGAGAAAACCCTGGGGGTCCCAGACCGGCTGCCACTGCCGGGTCCCCGCCGAGGGTCCCAGCAAGGCCGTCGCGGATCCGGAGACGCGGGAACGGCGAGGAAAGAGCGGAGAAAGCCCAGGGCAGGCTCGAACCGGACCCCCGCAGGGCGAGAGCCGGGGCGGACCCGAGGGTCGCAGGGACGAGGGGGTCGTGGAGAACAAGGAGGGTGCGGAGAGCGAGGGACGCACGGACTAGGGGAGCGAGGGGACCCGGGGAACCAGCGGGGCGCGCAGGAGAGGGGTCGGGAGCTGCGAAAGGGGTGCGGAGAGGAGGGGACCGCGGGGACTGAGCGCGCGGGGTCGAGGGGAGCGAGGGGGCGCGGGGACGCGGGCCGGTGTCCCCCGGCGGGTGGCGGCCAGGACTCACCCCCAGAAGGCACACTTTGAGCTCCCGTATTGCCATCATGTGCTCGCGGCCGGACCAGGCCGGGGCTCAGCAGCATCCTCCGGGGCCGCCGCGCCCGCGCCCCGCCGGCGTCTCCCGCCTGGGTCCCTCGCTCTCGCCGCCAGCGGGCGGAACCGCCGCGGCTGCTATTTCTGGGCCGCCGGCCCCGCCGCGGTGGGTCACGTGTCCGCCGGCCGGCTCCTCCCGGGCGCGTCGGGTCCAGGCTCGCCGGCCCCCAGCTCCCAGGAACGCCCCCGGACGGCGTCAGCCACCCGGGGACCTGCGGCGTCGCCGGCGGATCGCCTCCGCCCTCGGACCGGCCCCGAGCGCGCCAGGCGCCCCCAGCGCCCTCCGGCATCAGCTCTCCCGACCCGCCTGGCCGCAGAGTCCAGGTGGGAAGGAAGGACGGGACAGACCCTGCGGAGACCTGGCCCCACGGCCAGCGGGTCCCTGCAGATGCCATTCTCATCTGAAAAGCGGATGCTGTCGGCGGACGCCGTTTGCTGTTTGTGTGGCAGCGCTTGGGGGTCTGCGGGTAGTCCCATCCTCAAGCGACATTCTGGGTCCCAGGCAGAAGTCAGGCCACTGAGGGGGCCGCAGTGGGGACAGGGGTGAAGAGAAGGGAGTTAACTTTTCAGCCTGCCTTCTGGATCTTCCTAATACCCGAGCTTCCGTCAGCTCTGCCAATTTCATTTTTCTGTATGTAGCTGAAAATGATCCTAGAAGCAAAACTGGCTCTCCGTGTCTGAAACAGGAAACTTGTATTCTGGAGAAAAACTCTCTCAGTAGAGCAAATCCTGCGACGTGTGTGCACGGCAGAAATCCAGCCCTCTGAAGTACAGGTAGAAACATGGAGATCCCAGCAGACCCCAGCATCCTTCCTAACTAGGAAATGCCAAGAGGTTGTAGCCGCACACAGGCAGGGGAGGCTTCTGTAACTGTTCTTTTATCCATGTATGGCCTAGTGCACCTCATCCACTCAGATGACTTCATTCGTTGCTGCTACAGAAATGTCAGCCTTTTCAATGTAATCTGTGTGAATATTCACTGGCATTTCAGATGGGAAATGTTGTTTTAAAAACTGATTTTTTAAAACTTCATCTCCTATTCCAAACTCAGGCCTCTTTCCTAACCTTCCAATTTTAATCAATGGCATTTCCATTCTCCTAGCAGACCACCCTTGAGGCTTTGTTCTTACAGAAGCCAGGTTGAAGCTTCCCAGCACCCAAGTAGCCCCATTCAATGGGAAATTCCAAACCAAGGCCTCCAAGAAGGTAAGTCCTGGAATGCTGGAGTCAAAATGGGACCCAAAACAGACAATTCACAAGTAAATTCCCCAGAAGAGCAGGAACTTTGCCCTGGAGATGCAGGCTTGCGGAGGTTACTCAAATGTACTAAATTGTTCAAAAGGCAGCCATGGACAAGTTAGAGTCCATTGTATCAGTATCCCTCCTTGTTTTTGTATCCAAAGCAGAGTCTTCTATGTGGGCAGGGTGAAAAGGGGTTTGCCCAGAATCACACAGCCCTGGTCACAATACCTCCCTGTCCTCAGATTTGCTAATCAGAAAACCATCGCTACACAGTTGCAAAGACACCTCCTTCTCCAAGACCTTCCCGGCCCTCACCACACCTACTAAGACTTGGATCTCCACACTGAAATGTGTCCTTTTGGCTTTCCAGCTCAACTCGCAAAAGTCAGTCAAACCCGAGTGGAAGCTTCTGCCATGTTCTACATCCTGTGCAGTGAGTGGGGCTTTGTGAAATTGCCTTAGATTGCTAAAGGCAGAACCGTGCCTAGACAGAAATAAGCAAACCAAATTTCTCTTGTGTTCCCTTACTCTTTTCCATGACTGCTCTCATTCCGCTCTATTCTCCACTATAGCCTAGATGTCTGGGACGCTTGTGTGGTTTCTAGGCTCTCCCAAAACAGTCCCCTATGCAGGCCTTCCCTCCCTGAGAATCACCCCAACCCATTTGTCCTCCCCACTCCTAGTTCTATTAAAGACGACCTCATTTGTGTCTCCTTCTGATCAGGACTTGGGATCTTCTTTACAAAGTTGCAATCCTAGTCTGTCAGCTAGACTGTGTTCATGGGTTTATACCCTCTCCCCAGCCAGGTCACCCCTGAACTTAAACATGGCCTCATGAAAACCAGGTCCCCATCATCACCCTAAGGTAGCCCATAAAGCTCTGGCCCAGGAAGGCAGGAAGATGACTGTTAGGAGACATATTTTAGGAGTGACAGGTCAGAGGAGTAACAGGTCAAGGTTTACAAACCTTGTTTTTCATAATTACATTTTTTTATGGAACTATAGTGTCTGCAACGTCAGTTAAACAGTCTTTTTAGTATTTTTCGAAAGCTCTCGACTTTTTTTTAAAGTACCATGTTCTCTATTGTTACAGTCTATGGATTACTGCACTAAGGGCCCATCCCTACTCCTCTGGAATTTTCTGCAAATATGTAGTTCTGGTATAATTTCAGCAGAGATAAAAATTTAATGATATGTAACTGACAATTTATCAAATTAAAAAACAGAACATGCAAGTTTTTCTTATGAGAATTTTGTAAAGTAAAAGGTCATTGTGCTAATTCAGACCTTGACTTCTCTGCTGCTATAAAGTCTCCAACAGCAAAAGCCAGGAACGGTCATAAAACTGATCATTTTTGATTCAGGAAATCCTTTTTTGAACAATAACACACAAAGACGAGAAGTAAACAAAGCTGCCTGTCTGATTGTAAACACATATACAGAAAAAGAAACAAATACATTGGAGAAGCAAGATAAAATTATCTCTATGGAGGTAAAGGGAGAATTGCTGCATTAATTGTAACTCAAATCTCTTAACATTTGGGGAATGATTAAGCAAGCCAGGGTATCTTTACTGGATATATTTAATGGTGTACAAGAATATATGTTACTTAGATATTAAATGAAATGTGTATACTATGTAGATTTATAGACCTGTTTATAGTAAATAAGGTTCTGTGAAAACAATTATGACTCAAAAGGTTAAATAGGATAAGCAATATAAATATGTTATAATGCCCTGGAGCGAAGGCTGATCCCTGGAGACCAGTACTGAGTCATCTGGTCTGCTCAAGGGCCAATTAATAAAAAATAAAAATGTTTACAAACCTTTTCATAATTGTATCTTTTTTATGGAACTATAGTGTCTGCAATATCAGTTAAACAGCCTTTTAGTATTTCTCATTTACATAACAACTCCTTCCTTCCTTCTTTCCTTCTGTTTCAGAAACTTTCTAAATAGCATGTGCTACCTAATCTTATTTGTAACTCATGCCATTTAAACAAATTTTAAGGAGATGAATCCTGGACATACCACGGTAGGAAAGGTTTTTGAGAGATTTAGAAAAACAGAGGTGAGTGGATCCCACAATTAACCCACAGACTTAAAAAAGGAGACATGGCCTGGAAACTGAAGGAGACTCTGTCTGTGGGGAGGGGAGTGTCCCTGAGAACTCCAAGGAAGGTGGCTGCTTGGTGGAGGGGCTGTTAGGTAAGCGGATAGAAACTGCACAACCTCCCTAACAGCTCCAGATGTCTTCATGTGGAAAGCGCAGTGACATCTTAGATGGGAGACAGGGAAGGTAGGGGTTCGCCTCCTCGTATTCTCCATCGCCTGGAATGGGAGTGCTCAGAAGCGTTCCAGAACAAGTAGGTCTCACTGAAGACGAGGAAGGTTCTGTTGGGCCCTCACAAAGGATTGGTGTCAGGTGACACCAATCCAATTTCCAGATTCCTGAGTGGAATGCAGGAATCCAATTTCCAGATTCCTGAGTGCCAGCACTGGGCAGCTTAAGCGAGTCTTAGCATCTAACTGGCCTCTTTACTGACACTCCAGCCCAGCAACCTCCATCATCCCTTGGATCCCTGGCTGAGCTTAAAGTGTTAGGTTAAAAGAAAATAAGCAATAAGATATATATTAACACCTCCCATGGAGGTAAATGGATTGATTCAGCTGTGACCACCTCCCAGAAGCTGTAACATTAATCCAATCGGTCCCGTTCATTTTCATTTTACTTGTAAAACTGAGAAATTAAATTGCAATGATGCAGATAAACGTCACCACAACCCCAGTTTTGTTTCATAGACTGTCTTGGGTTGCTCTTTCTGGCAAGTTATGTAAGTTTTCCTGCAATTGCTTAGAGTAATATTATTGAGTTTAGGATTTCTTTTTCTTAAAAGGAGTTGTGTTTCACGTTTTTGTACCTTAACATTATTTGCTATCAAAAAAAATTGGTTTTATTTTAGATGTTGGCAACAATTCCCATATCACAGGGATTTCTGTGTTTAGCTGTTTACCCACCCATTCAGCAAACAGCAGACACTGACTATGCTAGACACTGGATGAATGACCAGTGGAGAAAGAGGACACATGCTGACGTTGAGCTATAAAGGAAGGAGACAAACATAAACAGGAGACTATTGTATGATGTTAAATGTCTGAGGCTTGGTGTAGTCGTTTCATTTTTGTTACGTTTCTCATTCAGGAAAAGAGCATAAATTCCAGAGACTCCAAACCTTGAATTCAACGAAAACCAACCCCCAAGTAAAGGAGAAGATGATCAAGATGGCTGGAGTCTGAACCTAGTCAACTGCTAGGTGAGTGAGTGTGTTTGTGATAGGCGGAAAATAGATCTGTGTTTTGTTTGAATTCCCAAGACTGTCCTAGATAAGGAAGAATGTAATGCAGGCTTTTTTTTTTTTTTTTTTTTTTTTTTGAGACGGAGTTTCACTCTTGTTACCCAGGCTGGAGTGCAATGGCACGATCTCGGCTCACCGCAACCTCCGCCTCCTGGGTTCAGACAATTCTCCTGCCTCAGCCTCCTGAGTAGCTGGGATTATAGGCACGCGCCACCATGCCCAGCTAATTTTTTGTATTTTTAGTAGAGACGGGGTTTCACCATGTTGACCAGGATGGTCTCGATCTCTTGACCTCGTGATCCACCCGCCTCAGCCTCCCAAAGTGCTGGGATTACAGGCTTGAGCCACCGCGCCCGGCCAATGCAGGCTTTTTCTAATCTGAAGTGCCTCTTAGAACATCTGTGTTCAAGTTGATTATCCATCATCCAAAATGCTTGGGACCAGGAGTGTTTTTCCGATTTTGGAATATTTGCATTATACTTACCACTGGAACACCTCTAATCCGAAAATCCCAAATTGAAAATGTTCCATTGAGCATTTCCTTTGAGCATTGTGTCAGCAGTAAAAAAGTTTCAAATTCTGGAGCATTTCGGATTTCAAATTAGGGATGCTTAGCCTGTACTAAGAGTACTTAACTACTGTACTAAGTATTTAATGGTTAACTGAGTTGCCCTAAGGCTCTAATTACATTGGAACTCTTGCAAATTTTATTTCTATTGAGGTTATTATTGTCAAAAGACAAAATTTCAACAACGTTAAAGATTTAATTAGCTTGTATTACTGATCCATGAACCAGGCAGCATCCCATCCGTAAGTTGAGAAAATGTGTTCCATTGAGCGAGGCAGAGGACTTGGCTTTATAGGCCTTTTAAAGGCTGAAGAAGCAGAAACAGGGAATGAAAGTCAGTTTGGTGCCTCAGAGCTACTTCCCTTGTCGGGTTAAAGCACAGGGGACTTCCTCATCAAACCTGCTGAGGGCTCCTTCGGATTGGCTGCTATGCATCTCCTGTTTTTTGGAAAGCTGCCCTTTTTAAAGTTCAGTTGGACAGCCTGGCACTTAGTAGGAGTGACTCCATTCTGGTTTGGTCTGGTCTACTGGGCCTAGTGCAAGAGCTCAGTCCAAAACAGTGGCCTCCCATAAATAGTATTTAAGATTATTCTGGAACTACCATTCTCCTTGCTATTCATGGGCTTTCCCAATTACCAATATAACAGAGCCTGTTCTGAATCAACCATAATCCAGTCCTTCGCATAGCATATATTCTGCACTCTGAAAATACGTGGTGAGTGAGCGAGTGAGAGAGTGAGTTCCCTGGCCCGACTGATAAATCCCAAGCATGGAGGGCAGAAAGGGCCCTCTGACATCAGATGGAACCAAGTTTAATCCAGATTCCTTTATGCCCAGTTTGTGTGAATTTAAGGAAGAGTCTTTTCAACCTGTAGTTCCATCCTCTGTCAAAGATGGACATTAAAAGGCTGTTGCATTATTTTGGAGGAGGGTTACATGCGTTTAGTCAGGGTGGAGGGGGGAGGGGTGAATCATAAGTCCAGATGACAAACCATCCCAATTTGCATGAGACTGTTGAGGTTTTAGCCCTGACTGTCCCACATTCACAATAGTTGTCACCTTGTCCCCTTCCCTAAGCTCATAAAACTGTTTTGGGGTTGTTACTGTCTATTTAAAAGGAAGTGCTGACTTCCAAACACCCTCACTTCCTTCCTCAGTTTTTCTGAATGTAGAAGAGACTCCAGATTTAGAAAATAGCATCACTACTTCATGCATAGCTATGCATGAAGTAACATCTAAATTACTTAAGATTCTTTCTCCATCTTACACTCAGTTTACATGGGAGGCTTAAATATGCAAGTTCTAACTGCAGCTACATAACAACTATTTTACTGAAAAGCATACTGTGTCTAAAAAAACAACAAAAATAAGAAATGAAAAAAGAGGGCTTGGTTTCCAAGCATACTGCTGAGGCCCCAGCCCCTTTTGCAGCTCTCTCCTGACTCTCCGCCCTTCCCCCTCCTGCACACTTGTGTCCAATGTCATATTCTTCTACTGAACTGAAACTTACCATCAGAACCAACCCCTCAATAGCTCTGGTAGAGGGGATTTTAACAACTTGAAGGCAGAACACACCCTTGGGTAAACATCTGTGGGAAGCTGCCTTCTCCGGACAGTTCTTCACCTAGCTCACATGTGGTCCTTGAGTTTCAGGCTACGGAACTTCCCCTGGTTCTTCTGTCAGCAGATGTTCAAAAGTGGGGCATCAAGATTAGCTGGTGACAGGCTGAGTGCGGTGGCTCAGGACAGTGGCTCCCAACACTTTGGGAGGCCGAGGTGGGTGGATCACCTGATGTCAGGAGTTCAAGACCAGCCTGTGCAACACGGTAAAACCCTGTCCTACTAAAAATACAAAAATTAGTCAGGTGTGGTGACAGGCACCTGTAATCCCAGCTACTCAGGAGGCTGAGACAGGAGAATTGCTTGAACCTAGGAGGTGGAGGTTGCAGTGAGCCAAGATCGCACCATTGCACTCCAGCCTGGGCAACAGAGTGAGACTCTGTCTCAAAAAATAAAAAAGATTAGCCCCTGGGATTTACTGTGGAGAGCCTGAGGATGGAGGGGCCCTGACTCCATTTCTCCTAAATGGAGGAGGAAGCGGGGAGAAGGAAATGCAGATTTACTCTCAGAAATCACAGGGAGAAAGACTGACAGTTTCCACCACCGAAAAGTTAACCCTTGCTTTATGGAAGAAATATCATAAACACAATTTTTAAAACTGCAGTCTGGGAGAATATTTGGCATAGATATGACTCAGTTAATAATCAATATAGAAAGAACTAATAGATTATTATGATTATTATTTTTACAAAACCATCAAGATCCATTAGGAAAAATAAGCAGATGCAATTGGGCAGTTCACGAGTAGGAAATTCATGTATGAAGAAAGTGTTCAAATTCATAAGTAAGTAAAAATACAGATTAAAGCTTCAAGAAATAATTTTGGACTGGGTGCAATGGTTCATACCTGTAATCCCAGCACTTTGGTAGGCCAAGGCAGTTGGATCACTTGAAGCCAGGGGTTCGAGACCAGCCTGGCCAAAATGGTGAAACCCCATCTCTACTAAAAACACAAAAATTAGCCAGGCATGGTAGTGCATGCCTGTAATCCCAGCTACTTGAGAGGCTGAGGCAGGAGGATCACTTGAACCTGGGAGGCGGAGGTTGCAGTGAGCTGAAATTGTGCCACTGTACTCCAGCCTGGGCAACAGAACAAGACTCTGTCAAAAAAAAAAAAAAAGGAAAAGAAAAGAAAGAATGAATGAATTTTCTACTTATCAAATTATCAAAACTGTAAAACCTAAAGCTCCATGCTGGTTAGAGTGGAACAGAAAGGAGAAGGTCCGGTTAGGCTGCTCAGACAAAAATAAACTGCTCCTTTAGAATCACACTGTCTTACTTTATGTATGTTCATATCTTTACAGCCATTCTCTGTCACTTGGGTATCTTCACATATCTTTCCCCTGACGCAATATTTATTTTACTTTTTATTCTCCATGAACAAAATTATACTTTAATCTTAACAAGCTTAATTCTAGGTTCTGGTGCGTGAGAGATAAAGAATCTGAAAGCTCCCTAGTGGTTGCCAAATGCACATTTGCATACAGAGGATAAGGAAGGGAAGAAAAGGAAACTTAAACAGAAGGTTTAAGGATAACTAGGGCTACTCTTCTGTTTTGACTATGAAAGTCTGGAAGGGAGCATAATGCAAGTAACCACAGCAACACTGATTGAGTGTTAATTGCTAGCTAGGTACCAGGTACCCACAGGCCCTGCCAGTCTTCTTATGTCAATGATGTCACAGTCCCCCTGCCTAAAGGAAGGTGCCATTGTTCTGAAAACTGAGGCAGAGTCCCTGCAAAGGTCTGCCTTGATGGGACACAGACAGGATTCAACCCCATGCACTTCAGTAAACATGTACATGACCATCCTATGCGTTTAGTTTTTAGTTTGAGGTCTTACCAGGGATATGCAGGAAAAAAATGTTGAGCAGACGAAAATAAAATATCGAATCTCAACGTAGAGAATCAGCTGTAAAGATGAGTGAGTCAGTGCTGGCTGGCGTAATCACACACACACTGGTCCTATTTCTCCCTGTTGACTGGAGGGGATTCAGAAAATACATTTTGGTGTTTTCCCTGTAGGGCTGAGGAATTTCTCCCAAAGAGTAAAAATAATAAATATTTGTAGAACGTATGAAACCATGTCTGTGAAACACATTTCCCACTCAACTATGTTATGTTTAGTGCCCTAGAGGTCTTACCTAAAGAACAAGCAATAAACCCGACAATGATATTTGTGATGGTTACTTTTATGTATCAACTTGGCTAGGCCATAGATATATCATGAAACATTATTCTAAATGCTTCTGTGAAAATAGCCTACCTGAGATTAACATTTAAATCAGTGTACTTGCAGTAAAGCAGGGTATTCTGCTAATGTGGGTGGGCCTTGTCCAACCAGTTGAAGGTCTTAAGACAAAAATACTGACCTCCTTAGAGGAAAAGGAATTCTGCCAGCAGAAGGCCTTTAGACTCAAGCTGCAGCATCAACTCTCCCAAGGGCTTCCAGCCGGCGGCCTGCCCGGCAGATTTTGGATTTGCCAGCCTCCATAATGGCATGAGACAATTCCCTAAAAGAAATCTATCAGCCGGGCGCGGTGGCTCAAGCCTGTAATCCCAGCACTTTGGGAGGCCGAGGCGGGTGGATCACATGGTCAAGAGATCAAGACCATCCTGGTCAACATGGTGAAACCCCGTCTCTACTAAAAATACAAAAAATTAGCTGGGCATGGTGGCGTGTGCCTGTAATCCCAGCTACTCAGGAGGCTGAGGCAGGAGAATTGCCTGAACCCAGGAAGCGGAGGTTGCGGTGAGCCGAGATCGTGCCATTGCACTCCAGCCTGGGTAACAAGAGTGAAACTCTGCCTCAAAAAAAAAAAAGAAAAAAAAGAAAAGAAATCTATCTATCTTCTATCTATTTATCTATCTATTCATCTCCTATTAGTTCATGCTTCTTTGGAGAACCCCAACTAATATAATATTCAACTGATTTTTTTTTTGTCCTGAATCCCCCACCCAGGATGCAAACACACTGGTTCTGACTCTGCTCCCCCAAATATGAATTAGGTACTGCTGTGTGCCAGACATGCAACCAGGAGCTAGAGATGCAAAAGGTCATTGAGGAGTCCTGGCCCGGGAAGCCTACAGTCTGAGCTCACCTCTACACCCTGACCCTTTTAGGAAATAGGCTGTTTCCCAAACTTCTGTTGTTGTGGTCCCAGTGTCAGAATTCATGTGTGTAAACAGGGATTTGGTCCCATTAATGTTGTGAAGAAAAGGCAGTAATGATTAAAAAATAAAAATAAAAATGTGAGAAGACAGGCCGGGTGCGGTGGCTCATGCCTGCAATCCCAGCACTTTGGGAGGCCCAGGCGGGTGGATCACGAGGTCAAGAGATCGAGACCATCCTGGTCGACATGGTGAAACCCCGTCTCTACTAAAAATACAAAAAATTAGCTGGGCATGGTGGCGCGTGCCTGTGATCCCAGCTACTCAGGAGGCTGAAGCAGAAGAATTGCCTGAACCTAGGAGGCGGAGGTTGCGGTGAGCCAAGATTGCGCCATTGCACTCCAGTCTGGGTAACAAGAGTGAAACTGTCTCAAAAAAAAAAAAATGTGAGAAGACAGATCCAGGTCCAAGCAGAAAAGCTGTGGTCCCTAAGGTTAAGCTAGTGCCCAAGAAGTGGCAGAACCCGAAAGATGGGCCAGGTGTAGAGGCAGAAATGAGTCAGAGCTGAAGATGGTGGTTCAGAACAGAATAGCAAGGCCACTGAGTGGGGTTGTGGGCCCGAGGGGAAGAAGGTCACACTTTGGGGAGATTTCAGTGACCATACTATCATGTGTCCAGGCCCTTGTTTGGACTGCATTATCTAGGCTAATCCCAGGGCATGATCCAGAGAAAAGAAACGAAAAAGGCATTACTTCCTTACTATAGAAGGGATTTGAGAAGGAGGGCTATAGCTCAGACCAGGGAATAGAAAACAAGTGTATCTAGAAAATGAAAAAGAAACAATATAAACATCTGGCATGTTAAACCAGCCCCAGCTGGCCACAATAACAAGACATTTGCTTGCACAAGGATGTACCATAGATGCTCAAAAAACATTGAGAAAATGAATGGAATCATACAATATGTGTCTTTTTGTTTCTGGTTCCATTCACTTAACATAATGTTTCCAAGGTTCATCCATGTTCTAGAATATACTCCCTCTTATGTCATACTGGATTAAACTCTACTCTTGGTTGGGCATGGTGGCTCACACCTGTCATCCTAGCACTTCAGGAGACTGAGGCAGGTGGACCATGAGGTTAGGAGTTAGAGAACAGCCTGGCCAACATGGTGAAATCCCACCTCTACTAAGACTACAAAACTTAGCTGGGCATGGTGGCCACGCCTATAATTTCAGCTACTCCGGAGGCTGAGGTGGGAGGATCGCTTGAACCCGGGGCGGGGTAGGGTGTGGGGTGGTGGAGCGGAGGTTGCGGTGAGCCAAGATCGCACCACTGCCTTCAAGCCTGGGCTAAAGAGACTTCATCTCAAAAAAAAAAAAAAAAAGGAAGAAGAAGAAGATTTCAAATTCTACTCTTCCGTTCAAAACTCTTGTACACCTCCCCATTGCCCATCCAAGTAAAGTCTAAACTCTTTAGCACAGCATTCACTATTCTACAGAATCCCACCTACCCACCTTTCTTGCACCAACCCACCCTACCTTTTGGCCTCTGTACCTTTGCTGAAGTCCCAAATCTCTGGACATCTAAATTGGTGATTGTCAAAGCATAGTCTCCAGACCAGGCTCGGCAGCATCTGAGAAATGGCTACAAATTCAAGTTTGCAGGCTCCTTTTCAGACTACTAATTCGGAAACTGGATTCTGTGTTTTCACATGCCCTCTAGGTAATTCTGACATACAGTAAAGTTGGAGAAGCATTGGTCTAAATCACAGCACTCCTCAAAGACTAGTTTATATGCTGCTTCCTCGAGCCTCTTTGCTTTCTCTTTCCTCTTATTTCCCATTGGAAATTTCCATTCCTCCTTACAAGGATTTCCCTGTTTTACACTGTGTCATTATTATGTCTCCATTATTAGACTTCACCTGTGTCATTTCTTTCCTCTAAACACTGAGAAGGAGGTTGGACAAGATGCCATTGAGGGTTGCCTCGAGCCAAGATCCTGGGGATGAGCTTGAGGAGGGCAGGCCTGGCACTTCCTCTATCTCCCATTGTGTGTCACGCCTAAAATGCAGCTCCCAAGTTGCCGGTGACAAACTGCCACCAATCTGCAACAAAATGAGAGAGGGGGAGGAAATAATGTGATAAGCTTTCCTTGGCAGGAAATGTATCCAATTATATTATTCTGAGAGTATAACTTTCCTATTTGTGCGTATGAAAATATCAGTTCTAGGCCGGGTACGGTAGCTCATGTCTGTAATCCCAGCACTTTGGGAGGCAGAGGCAGGCGGATCATGAGGTCAGGAGATCAAGACCATCCTGGCCAACATGGTGAAACCCCATCTCCACTAAAAATACAAAAATTAGCTGGGTGTGATGGCACATGCCTGTAATCCCAGCTACCCGGGAAGCTGAGACAGGAGAATGGCTTGAACCCAGGAGGCAGAGATTGCAGTGAGCCGAGATTGCACCACTGCACTCCAGCCTGGCGTCAGAACAAGACTCCATCTCAAAAAAAAAAAAAAAAGAGAGAGAGAGAGGATGTTTGGATTTTTTTTGCTTTGTTTTCTTTCCTGTGGCTTGCAAGCCTATTATCAGATGATCAGAGATTCCCATTTGCTGCTCTACATCTGGGAACCACTGACCTGTAAAAATAGTGGGCTCAGGGCGTGCTACAGGAGGAGAGGCATTTGGTGGCATCATTCCAGGACTATCTAGGAGTCTCTGGCTTCGCCTAGGTCAGCAGCCATTGCTGGGTCATATTCAACTTGAGAGCTGCTCTCCTCTCCCAAATGTCAGAGCCTGTTGTAAACTGTCTCAGAGCCATAGCACAGAGAAGCCTCACTTCCAGGACTGCTAGGTTTGGAAGGGAAGGCGAGGGTTAAAGAAAGACACACAGAGAGGGAGAGAGGGCAGCTTAAACAGCAACACTTATACGGCAGAAACCTGTAGAAGTGGGGACCAGCTTAATGCCAGAGCCCACCACTGCTTACAGGCTGGGGATACTTACAGGTATGAGTGGGAGGGGTCTGGGCAGGATGGCTTGCTGCCCAGCAGGGTATTGATAAAATGTTCCCAGGATGAGGTGGTTCTGGCCCTTGTTCCGGTGTGTGGTGTTCCTTGCACTTTCTCCCAGCAGAATATGATAGGGGTGTTTCTTTAGTTGGGCCCTTGCCTTCAGTTGGGCCTTTGCCCACCTTGTGGTCAGGTGGTTAGGCAGGATGTTTCTTCTCATGGCCCAAACGCCCATGAAATGTTTCACTTTGACCAAAGTCTGCAAAATAAGGGGGAGCTTGCAACATGACGCAGTTTGGACTAACAGGAATAATAAGGACCTGCCACACACACACGCGGGGCATTTTGAAAGGATGCAAACCTCCTACCCTCCAGCCTCGTGACATAACTCACACGGGCTAACTAGAGCTAAGGAGACAACTGTTGAGTGCTTTTTGAGAATTTATAGATAAAATGTCTGTGGAAATCCCTGAAATTTGTTTTAATCCTAACCCCCGGGCCCATTTCAGCAGAGATCAGCATGTCAGACCCCACCAGAGATTAAGCAAGAGGAGAGACAGGCTGAGCAGGAAGGGCGGGATGGCTATCATCCTCCCAGCTGCCGCCAGGGTGAACCACAGACTATGTGGTGTTTCTGTTTAATTGTTTGATACACTAAGTGTACCATTCCAAAGTGAGTCCAATTTTTCCCATTTATTCCTTTTTCTATATTTCCAAAGTCATAAGTTAAGGAATCTTTTTTTTTCTTCAAATGCTGCCAGTGAATAAGTTCAAGAATCTTATAGCAGATGCTTTCGTGAAAACTCTGCCCAGTTCAGAAAGACTCTTTCCTCTGAAGAATGCTCCTTCTAAAAAAAAAAAAAAAAAAAAAAAAAAAAAGTAGGGCGGGGGGGTGGTGGGAGACCTGGCAAATATTGCTTTACTACTACCCCAGCTGCTTGGCCACAGGTAGGCGCGGGTAGATGTCTGATTCAAAATCGATCAGTGAACTTCTCCTGCAGGAATTTGGAAGTGAGGTCCTGAGGGTCCATCTGGCTTCTATGTGCAACTGGAACAAAGGTGACGGTAGACTCAGGTGCTGCAGGGCGGGCCTCAGGCATGAAGTAAGAGATGGCCTGCAGCCAATGTGCAGAGAGAGAAACAGATGTGTGACCCTGTGGGAACAAGAGTCTAAGGACACGGCTGTCATTCATGCGTCTCATGAAGACAGCCACATCCCCTCACTGGGGATCTCTGAGCCACCCATGAAATGCCTAACAGGTCGCCTTCACTGAGCATGTCACTATAATGCGGTGGAGTCACCACAGGGCCCCACAAGTAACCCTAGCACCACGATAGTCCTGGCACCTTGTGGTTGACCAAGTAATATGGAATAAGTCACCAGTCACCAGACTAAGAAAAATCTTTGAAAGACTGACATGTGCCATCTGGAGAAGATTAAGAAAAGCATAACAGCAACCTTCAAATTGTGCAAGCATACTCATCAAAGAGAAGGATCGGCTCCTGGCTTACTTCTTTTTATATTCATACCTGACCTTATTCAGGGAGCAAAATTGAGGTGGCTTTAAATTCCGAAGTGTTCCACATGGCAGAGTAACACTCAGAGTGTGGACGCAATGGAGCAACTCATCCCAACTCATCTAAAGGAGAGGCCAGAGCAACTCATCATAAGTAATCTGAAGGAGAGGCCAGAGCAACTGACTCCCAACTCATCTAAAGAAGAAGCTCACTTTTTTTTTTTGAGATAGTCTCACTTTGTCACCCAGGCTGGAGTGCAGTGGCACAATCTCGGCTCACTGCAACCTCCGCCTCCCGGGTTCAAGAAATGCTCCTGCCTCATTCTCCTGAGTAGCTGGGATTACAGGCACCCACCACCACATCCCACTAATTTTTTTGTATTTTTAGTAGAGACAGGGTTTCACCATGTTGGCCGGCCTGGTTTTGAACTCCTGACCTCAAGTGATCTGCCCGCCTCAGCCTCCCAAAGTGCTGTGACTATAGTCGTGAGCCACCATGCCTGGCTGACTTACTTT